ATGCTGATAAAGAAACGGAGAACTCATATATTATTACCTGACATTGTGCCGAGCTCCATTTACGACTCGTAAGGTTTTGTACCGAGACGCAGCTGGAAAAGTAAGCTCTAATGCTTATGCTGGCATTAATCGGATCTTTGTGGAGATAGGGAAGCTGTGGAGGTCGCGTCGGCGATAGAGTGAACATCTCTTCACTATTCAACTGCCTGAAACCGTAGAAGACGGTGTTGCGCTGTTCATTGGTCAGCTGGTCCACTTGGTAGCGGCTGAGGGCAGCCGACTTGGCTCGAGCGTAGGCAATGTTATCAACTATAAAGGTCCAGAAGCCAGAGTTCGCAGCAGCCTGGGCTGAAGAGGTAAAGGGGATAGTATGAAGTTTTGACGAAATGGAATCGGGCTTCGATGAAGTTGTCAAGAAAGCCTTGTTGCCTTTCTTTCCATGTGATAGTGACTGAAGAAGTGCTTAAGATGGTCAATAGCCTAGCACAAGGTTGAGCATGTCTTCTTGCGAAAAGATCCATTTTGAAAAGAATTCTTGATATTTTATTCTAGTATACCCAGTTTTAAAGAGCATTTTGACCCTTTATCCAAATCAACATGCCATAAAGTTGTGTGCTCATGTTATTGTCCTAATATTTACGAGAACCCCATACTATTCGGCAAAGGTCGACGGACCAGAAAAATGCCCAAAGGGCAGTTGGTTCCAAGGATCAATAGTGGCTGAGGATTCGGCAGATACTGGACACTAGTTGAACCTTCTCTTTAATGTTGGATGAAGAGATTCGAAGGTCGGTTCCAACAGAAGACGACGGCAGATTCCTCTTGACCAGATGTCGATTGGCTTTACTGGAACATTCATGCAGACGCTGTTTCCGAGGCAATCTCCTTCGATTCTGGTGAAAAGGTGCTAAGCTTTCGTCCGTCATATAATGAACAGCATTGGAGCAAGGTATCATCGTCACAACAAAATTCAAGATAAAAAATCAAGAAAACTTACCGGCAAATGCCTAAAAAGTGGTATATATACTCTACATTTTTATACACTTTATACGTGATCAAAGAGGCCAGATGTAGAGTATATATACCAATTTGAGGGACCTGCCGGTGAGGTTTCTTGATTTTCTAGCTCAAATTTTGTTGTGGCGATGATACCTTACTCTGATCATGTCCGTCATATGACAGACGAAAGCTTAGCACCTTTTCACCGGAATCGTAGGAGATTGCCTTGGAAACAGCGTCAGCATGAATCTTGCAGTAAAGCCAATCGACAGCTGGTCAAGAGGAATCTGTCGTCGTCTTCTGGTGGAACCGACCTTCGAATCTCTTCACCCAACACTTTCACTCGAAATGGAAGTGAGCTCAAAAATAATGAAACAAGATATTTCTCGAAACCCAACTTTTCTTCGCATGATCCCTAATGCATGGGTTTTCTCATTATTAAAAGCTTACTGCTAGCTGAATAAGAGAAATTGTCAAAATTAATAGACTTTGGAACACTTTGAATGTAAGCATTAGGAGTTGAAAGTGGCAGTCAATTTTTCGGTTTAGAAACAAAAGTTGGTCAGGAGAGATTCGTAAATTTGTCGTACTGGAAATCGAAAGAGGATTGCTTTGGAGTGATGTCTGTTAGCTTGCGAACCAAGTCCTGTGACTCCGATCCACCCACCGTGACAGGTATCGAAAGAATGAGAAACCATCATTTGAAAATAACCGCCCTAATGAATTAAACCGAGAGAACATGTAACCGCCTACAAAAGTGTTCACTTGCTATACCAAATTTAGCAATCTTGATGAGACATTCCATTACTCGGTTAGCTACTTCATTCTAACTCCACAGATTGCAGATGAGTGAGGCTGGTTCATAAAAAGGAAGTGGATGTGGTCACGGCTGTTTTATCAAATACCGGAACTTTGTATGGTCCTGTAATGTTGACATATGCTTATTCACGTGGTGTTGTGCATTGTGTTTAAGTTGTGCTATTTTTACTTTTCGTCTGTGGCTGTTTGATGTCACTACGGAATTCAGGTTGACGCAGTCCATGAAGTATCCCCATTTGATTAAGGGGATGAAGGGCCACTTGACAGATGGCATCGAAGCTGGAGCTCATTTTTAGCAAAAACGTCAAGTTCATACTAAGCAGGCTGTAGCTAACATGCCATTAGGTCAACAACTGAGAAGAAAGCATACTTATTGTTAAATGGATATTGGACTATTTAGTTAATATTATTTCATCTTAAACTAATTGGTTAAATGCTGATCTCTCCTTGATCTGTGGGCGCCTGGCCACTTCCATGTAATGTCTGTCTTATCCTCTCTCAAGATATTCGTTGCCGATCTGGCAATAGACTCATATGATTGTGTGAAAATTCATCGTGAACAAAATAGAGTGAGCACCTCTCGTATATCTGATTTATTGTTAGTCTATAAAACCTACTTACAAACAATAAATAAG